GCTGAAAATGTAAATATGCATTGTTTTTGATTTCTTAAGAAAACTTTTTGGATGTATATCATTCGCAAATTATAATTAGATTATTTTTTCTCATCAGAAATTGCAAATTCAAGAAAAAGCAGCACAAGAAGTAAAATTAGCTATTAAGCCATTTTACCAAAATAAAGATATCACCAAGGAAGAATATAAAGAGATTGTACGAAAAGCAGTAGATAAAGTAAGTTACAGCTTTATTGGAGTTAATGTGTGGATTGTTTCGATCCACCTCTAATTTTAATAAGTCTTAAGTTTAATTATACTAATAAACACTAGTCCTACTAATTCTTGTCTTTTTTTTAGCATTTTGAGTAAATTTGTATGAAATATAAAACATGAAAATAAGTCTAATTATTATTCTTGAGGTTGTTTTTTGCAAAGCTTTCTGTTTTGCTTTAATCCCTGTAAGCATGAAAAAAGTTTTCCGTCTCCTTTTTTCTTAGGTTTGTCATAGTAAGAGTGGAGAAGTAAATTCTGCTAAAGTGGCAAATCTGGTTAAAGCCTATGTAGACAAGTACAAATATTCACGGAAGGGGAGCCAAAAGAAAACTGTGGAAGAACCTGTGTCTACTGAAAAAAACATAGGCTGAGATGGGGAGCATTATAAATGACGTTATCAAGATATCTGCAAAGTGCAATTTCAACATGTACCATTAACTGAAAAATCATACATAACTGTGATTGAAATTTGGTTTTGATAAAATTATTTTTTTTAATGTAGGGTATAATGTTTTGTTTTAAGTAAATATAGTCTGCACTGCAACTTCTATATCCTTCCTTCCCCCACTCAAAAATAAAAAATTCATGGGAAAGTAAAGGGTTTAAAGGAAAGTGCATTTTTATTAGGACTGTGTTTTGTTGATACTGGAAGATGTACAGCTTTTCAGTTAGAACAGTGGAGTGCATAAATTAGAAACTTCTAAGTGCACTGATTTTCAAAAATATATATGTATATATATATAATACATTTATTCTGTCAGACTAAAAAATGAAGTATGATCTTTACGATTTTTCCCTTTAATTATAGAAAGTTAAATAATGTATTACCATGAAAAATACTTCTAATATTAAATAGAACATACCAATTGCAGGATTCTTAATGTGTATTTTTAAAGCACATAACTGAATGAATTGCTTAGATAGAAAACAAATTATCATGAGTAAGATTTAATATTCAAAAGTTTGAGACACTCTTCACCTATTGTATTACCAATAAAGGTTATGCTGCTTGTTTTCCTTTTGTGCCTTTTTTTTTTCCCTCCAGTTAAAGATGAAGCAGTTCTATTTGCCATATTCTTACTTTGGCATTTCAGAATCTTTGTTAAATTTCAAAGACCAATTTTGAGAAAGTATTGACTTTGTAGAAATTATGTTCGTTCATAATATCGTCCATTCATCACAGATAATTATTTGTGCCAACTGGAGAATTGCTGTTAAATGGTGAACCTTCCCTTCCTTGGGACTAAGGTAGAATTACAAGACTCACTTTCTGGGCTTCAGGTGGTTACTCATCTGTCTAATCACTGATGAAATTCTTTTCACACTTGAGAAATCTCTAAATGTGTTACGTAGAATAAAATGTTAATTTGTTGACCATGTAGTGACCATTAGCCATGTTGCTAAATTCTAGACATTAAAGCCCTTCTTTTGGAAATGGAAAGGAAAATTAAATAGAGTCACAGTTGTACTTTCCAGGGACTTGGGTTTGGGCATTTTTTTTTTTTAAGTATTAGAATATGTTAATTTTTATAAAAGGTAAGTTTAAATGTTTATTTTAATTGGCATCTTTAAATAAAAATAGGTTTTCTCCATGGTAAAAACTGTCTTTCATTCCAGTAACAATTTTCAATAGATACCAAATAACTGGAAAGCTATTCAGATGTTAATGGATCCAAAGTAAACATGCCTCAGTGAGAAAAACTGACCCTTTTACTAGCTAAACTATTTAGTGAAAGCAGTACTCTATAGGACTAGGCTTTTATAAAGTAATGCTTGTTTGTTTCTCAGTTTTATGTGCATAATAATACTCTCCTGGTGCTAGCTTTGATAGGCAAAATATTTTGAAATATTGGACACCATAATGATTGTACTAGTTCATATACTTTGTTAGGTTATGAATGAGTGTAATCCTAAAAATATTTCCAAGCATTTTTTGATCTTCAACATTTCTGGGCATTTGTAATATGGTATTCTATTGACACATATATTTTTACTTAAAGGTTGTGTTTAGCTTATGATCGGGAAAGAAGTTTCGAAGTGTGTTTCTTCTAATAAAGTATTAAGGTAGTGTTTTAAATATCAGTGCATACCTCCTCAGTTTCTAGAACAAGTGAAACAATTGTGCAGGCTTTCAGTCTATTTTGAGTTAAGGCTAGTTCACACTTTGAAATTTTTGAAATAAATTGCTGTGCCTACATTGATTAATCACATAGTACATATTTTTCCTGCATTTTCTTTCAGTAATATTTAGGAACTGGGTGGCATTTTAAACATTTTAATACTGTTTAGCTTTTGCAAAAATAATTGAAAGTTTTGAAGAAAAACTAGGTGGTGGTATGATCAAGAGTTAATGTCTCATATCCTTGGTAGAATTCCTGTGAATTATTTCCACCATTTAAAAAAAATAACAGGTATATATCAATTCTGGTTGGGGCACTAGTTAGACAGCATAACTAAAATGAAGTGTTACTGGATTAGAATTCAAAGTTTTTAAACTTTGAAATGTTTAATAACATTAAGAGAATGCATGCCTTATGTTAAAAAATGCTTTAGTTTTCCATTTTTGCTTCTTTTTAAAAAATTGACATTAATTTTGCATATGCACAAATTTAATCAAAAACATTTTATGGACTCTCTTATTTGTCGTTATTTATCAAGGTTCAGTATTGGCTTGATCTTTGATATCTTTAGTCACATTGACTGATGTCTTAGGCTATAAAGATGCCTAGAAATCTGAGACAAATAGTAGTTACCCATTAACATTCCAAAAATTTTGTCATTTGTTTTTTGTTGTTTTTGTTTTGGTGAATACCGCATTTTCTCCACTACCTTCCTTCAGATGTCCACAGTGTGTACTACTTTAATGTTCCTCCCTTTAAAAGATGTAGCTTCAGAAGTTAAGTTGTTGCCCCAGGGCCATGAGACATTGTAGTATGAGGTTGGAGTGCTGTCTACTGAAACAATACTCTTAAATATGTAGTGTGTAATATTTTCTAATAAATTCTTTTGATAAACAATGTAGTGTCTTTAACTATTATTATGGTTTCTGGGAAATTGTGGCATCTTTCATTAGAACCCTTTCTGGACATATATATATTGAACTATTTCTTAAATTTATACTGTTCACTAGCATCATGGTTATGTTAATATTCAAGCTCTAAAGTAAACTTAGAATATATAAGCATATATCTTAGTAGCATTTTCCCTAATTATATGATCATTGTAGGAAATTAGAGAAACTTTAATAAGTAAAATTTGTAAAGAGGGTGGAACCAGCAGATGGCATAGCAGTTATGTCACTGGACTCCCATAGGGCTGACCACAGTCTAAATCCCAGATCTGGTGGCTTCAAACTGATACCTAGCATGTGTTTGTGCGTGCCTAAGATCCCAGAAAGAGAATGGAGGAGGAGAAAGGATTATGGTGCGGCCATCCAACCTGAGGGGTTGATTTCTCACTGTCTCTGTCTCTCTCTCTGGCGAGCTCATGTCCCCTAAGGCAAAAACCTCTCCCCCCCAAAAAAATTTATAAAGAAGAAAGAGACTGAAAAACAAAAGGAGAAAAATCTCGTAATCCTACCATTTAGAGGTATAACAATTTTTTTTTTTCCTAGAGCTTGTACATTTGCCAAAGAGATAGATAGAATGTGCAACATTCCCCAGGAAAGAGAGAGAGAGACAGAATATGCGACATTAAAAAAATTTATAAAGAAGAAAGAGACTGAAAAACAAAAGGAGAAAAATCTCGTAATCCTACCATTTAGAGGTATAACAATTTTTTTTTTTCCTAGAGCTTGTACATTTGCCAAAGAGATAGAATGTGCAACATTCCCTAGGAAAGAGAGAGAGAGACAGAATATGCGACATTCCTCAGGGGAGAAAGAGAACATGCGACATTCCCAGGTGGTATGGCCATGCCACAATCCTTTCTCTGTTCTCCTCCCAGGATTTTGGCCATGCGCAAGGGTTTTAGGCATACACGCACACCTGGCATGTTTTTCAGGCCACTGGATCTGGGACTCAAAACTCAAGGAATTGGCCATGTGGGATCCAGCACCTTAAACACCACTCTACCTGCTGGCCCCAAAGGTAAAAACTTTTAAATTGATCAAACTGCATATAACCATGTTGTAACCTATCTTTTCTTAAGTAATGGTATATTGAAAAAGTTCTATTTTAATTAAAAATTTTCTACAGCATGATTTTATTTTTTAGGTTTTTGCCATAGGCCGTATGTGCTTGCTGGAGATATACAGAGCGTGAAAATGAGAAATCATCTCCCAGGGGTGGGCGGCCATGCCACAATTCCTTCTCCATTCTTCCTGTGGGATTTTGGGCATGCACACAACACATGCCCAGCATGACTTTCAGGCTGACTCATACTGTGGTCGGCCATATGGGAGTCTAGCACCTTAACCACCACTCCAACTGCTGGCTCCATGCAGCATGATTTTTAAAATAGCTTTATAGTATTTCATTACATACATGTACCATTAAACAACTCTCACTCTTGGATTTACAAATATAAAGTTGTATTTAGAAATATATATAAATGGGGACCAAGAGGTGGCATGATGATTAAGGTATTGGACTCCCACATGATCGTCCAGGAGGGATGGCCATGCCATAATCCCTTCTCCTCCTGGAATCGTGGGCATGCACACACACACATGCCCAGAGTGAGTTTAAGCCACTGGGTCCAGGACTCGAACCACAGTCGACTACATGGAAGTTCAGCGACATAGACATTATGCCAAGTCCTGGTCGCTCTGGCAGCTTTCTCTCTCTCTCTCTCTCATGAATGCATATGCTCTGGAGCAAATTTTAAAATAATAATCAGAAAATTTATTCTTGAAAATAAAAAATTTTTTTTGCAGAGGTTTTTGTTATAGGGCACATGCGCTCGCCAGCAGAAAGTGAGAAATCACCTCCAAGGGGGATGGCCACACCACAATCCCTTCTCCATTCTCCTCTTGGGATCTTGGACATGCACGCACCTGAGTTGAAGCCACCAGGTTCAGGACTCGAACCACGGTCGACTACATGTGAGTCCAGCAACATAGCCATTATGCCATCTGCGGGTCCCAAAAATAAAATTTTTTTAAAGAAATATAAATAAGTAGTAAATTAGTAAAATTCAAGTTTTACTAATATAAATAATATTTATATAAACATCTTTACATGTAATTTTTGTACCTATTTCAGATTTTCTTAGGATTCTTACAATAACTTGGTCCGTCAGTGGTTATTTTCCTATAAAAATTTTCAAAATGTAAATTATATAGCCCTTGATACATTATTTTTATACACAATTTTTAAAAACTTGATTTTATATATATTATGCAACCTCATTTTCATAATTTGATTTTTTTTATTCAATAGGAGCACCAGAAACGTCTTTTTCTGTGTCTTTCCAAATCCTTAGTGCATTTACAAAAATTTTAAAGTTTCTAGGAAAGTAAGTTTCACAGATCTTTTCCCCTAACATATACATTATACTCTAAATTGTTCTACATCTCTAATCTCCTTAATAAGTCTAAGATACAGCCAGCGTCATGCATGTAAATAGTGATGTTCTTTATAGTGGTGATATATTGTATCTCTTCTGGTGAACATTTCAGTTATATGCAGGTTGTGTCTATTAGAAGCAGTTATATAATGAACACCCTTTGTGACTTTCCTCTGTGGATCTCTTTTTCCATACTAGGCTATAATGACTTTCAATGTATGCACATTTTAAATTTGGGTAAATATTGCTAAATTGCTCTCTGAAATTAGTATATTAATTTTTGGTCCTACCACATGCCCGAGCTTATTGTCTGCATTTAATTCCAAGCTTGATATTGTGACTGAAGCATGGCAGATTGTCTTTTACAAGGTCTTAAGGAACATTCCAGTACTCATCAAACATACCTACTTACATGTCAGGAATTCTTAGAGTCTTCACATGTATTATCAGGTTTAATCTTACCCAGTATTCAAAGAAGATAGTATAGTAGCAATATTTATTATTAGGTTCTAGTATTTTTCATGCACTCTGTCAGATATGTTACCTCATCCCATTTATGAAACTAATGCTAGAATTGTCTCTGTTGAGAAGATTGAGATGCATAAAGGATTAACGGAGTTACCTAGTTAAATAGCTACTTCGCAGATTCAGGTTTAAGTTTGTACACATCATGTCCAGGCTTGACTTGAGAGTGTTGCATTCATTTTATGTATGTAAGCCAACATCTGTGTAGTAACACATGTTAGTAACAACTCCGAGAAGTGAAGGAAGTGTAATTGATTCATGTTTCTACCTTCAGGAAGCCATATAATGTGGTGGAGAAAAACAGGTATGTATGGTATAATTGGAGCTGGTAGAGGGATAGTGGATGCAAAAGCAGCTCTCTGGCTAGAGAGTCCATGGCAACCATAAGCCCAGAATGGCTGGAATGAAGATAGGTGGAGAGTTTTAGGCAATATATTATGCAAAGAAATTTTCCAGGCAACAGGAAGTGTTTGACATAATACTTGGATTTGGAAAGATGGCTCAGAATCTTTTAATGGATCAAGAAAAAAACCAAAGTTAAAACATGGTGTTTGGGACAAGCAGGTGGTATGGTGGTTAACATGCTGAACTCTCACGTGGTGGACTGTGGTTTGAGTCCTGGACGTGGTGGCCTGAAAATCACACTGGGCATTGTGCATGTGTGACCAAAATCCCAGGAGGAGAATGGAGGGAAAGGGTTTGTGGCATGACCATCTGCCCTCAGGATGATTTCTCACTCACCCCCCTCCCCGCCTCTCTCTCTCCAGCCAGCACATGTACCCTGTGGCAAAAACCACACACACACACACACACACTCACGAATTATTTTCTTTACATCAAATGAAGTTTGGTGTGTGATCATGCCCTATGGGAAGTGATTTCTCACTTTACATCTTTCTCATCTCCACTTCCCTACAAGTGCACACACTCTGTGTCAAAAACAAGTTTATTTTTATTTATTTATTTATTTTTGGAGAGATTTTCGCTATAGGGTGCGTGTGCTCGCCAGACAGACACACAAAGACAGAAAGTGAGAAATCACCCCCCAGGGGGGATGGTCACGCCGCAATCCCTTCTCCTTCATTCTCCTCTCGGGATCTTGGGCATGCACGCACATGTGCCTGGCGTGAGTTTTAAGCCACCGGGTCTGGGACGCGAACCGCGTGCGACTATGTGGGAATCCAGCAACATAGCCATTACGCTAACTGCTGGTTCCCAAACAAGTTTATTTTTGAGAGGTTTTTGCCTTAGGGCATGTGAACTCGTGGGAGAGAGAGCAAGAGACAATAAGAGGGAAAGTGAGAAGATAGCAACTCCGCAATCCCTTCTAAATTCTCCTCCTGGGATCTTGGGCATGCATGCACATTTGCCTGGCATGATTTTAAAGCCACTGGGTCTGCAACTTGAACTGTGGTCAGCCATGTGGGAGTCCAGCAATATAACTGCCTACGCCATCTCTTGGCCCTTAGCAAAAATTAAATAAAATAAAAATTAATGTCTTACTTCAGACCAGCAGATGGCATAATAGTTACGTCACTGGACTCCCATGTAGTCAGCAGCAGTTTGATCCCAGAGCTGGTGGTTTAAAACTCATGCCAGGTGCATGTGTGTGCATTCCCGTAATCCTGAGAGAAGACTGGAGGAGAACGGATTGTGGAGTGGCCATCCCCCTGGATGGTGACTTCTCACTTTGTCTTGTCTATCTGGCAAGTACACGTGCCCTAGAACAAGCAAAAATCTCTCAAAAAAATGTCCTACTCTATATGAACTTTGTTACATGTGTATTATATTTCACAAATAAGTTTTAAAATATATAAAAAAGGGGGCTAGCAGGTAGTGTGGTGATTAAAACACTGGACTCCTACATGGCTGTCCATGGTTCGAGTCCTAGACCTGGAGGCTTGCTTTCTTACTCTCCCTTTCTGTCTGTCTCTCTCCAGTCAAAATTGAAGAATACTAATAATAAAATTTAAAATAAATATTT